CTTTTGATGTTGAACCAAATTCCCATCGAAGAAAGGACATATACCTCATTATCATCTGCAGTCATTAGATGTTTAGACATATAGAATATAAGTGAGCCTGCAATTTAAGTTTATTTTGATATTATGCCCTTCCTCAGTTCCTTTTATAATGTATATCTCTTTTTTTTTTTTTTAATTTTAAGTGATATAATAAGAATAATATGTCAATAACTTAAATAATTTAAAAATAATTTTTTTATTAAAAATAAAATATTATAAATGTGAATTACATGATATATGAATATAAGGGATTAAAAGATATGAAAAATTACCCCTATTATATAATTAATTTTTTTTTTTGAAAAGAAGATAGACAACTTTATTTCATTTTTTAACCTTTGCACTCATATGTTTAGTGTTTTACAACTCAAATTAAAGTCTTCTTATTTTTACTAGAATGAGACTATCATTTATCTATTTAAAAAGAAATTTTAAAATTATGTACAAGAGGACTAAGGGAGTATGCATCAAGGGCGGAGGACCATCCCATTCCCAACAAGGCTAGACAATTGTACCAAAAAAAAAAAGGAACAAGGCTAGACAATCCTAGCAACGCTAGACAGACCAGATGTCCTTTTGACCCGTCGAACACCGTTTCCTCTCTTCTTCGCAAATTCGCATACCTTATCGTGTATTGTGTTCCCAGATAAAAGAGAGTTCGACACCTACCCTAATTACCACAAATTCACCTCAGTCACCTTTTAAACCCAAATTTCTTTAAACCCTCCATCAATAACTTATCTCTGCATTATTTCCCAAACCCTTCTGCTCTGCAAATCCTCAGCTTTCTCTTTGACCACCTCAACGCCGATATGGATGCTCAACGGGCTCTGCTAGACGAACTCATGGGCGCAGGTAAAAACAATCATGATTATCCATGCAATCCCGATTCTTCTTTTGTTATATTTGTCTGTTTGGGTTTTTTGAGCGAATTTTCATGATGGGTTTTCTTTTTAAACTTCTCAGCTCGTAATATGACGGAGGAAGAGAGGAAAGGATATAAAGAAATAAAATGGGATGATAAGGAGGTCTGTAGATTCTATATGGTTCGGTTCTGTCCGCATGACCTCTTTGTCAACACTCGCAGCGATCTGGGTCTGAATCTTTCTCTATATTTACTTTTGAATTTTGATTCAATTTGCTCAACTTCCTTTAAATAGGTGGATTTTTTAGTTATATTAGCTTTAGTTATCAATGGGCATTAGTAAAGCTTGAGTCTTTTTAGTCAAAAGACTGTTCTTTTTAATCAGTGTTTGGCTAGGGAGGTTATGTTAACCTTAACTTTGGTTTTGTTTGTGCTGTTATTTTCATCAGGAACATGCCCCAAGATTCATGACCCGAAGCTAAAAGAAAGGTGTGGTTGAATGATTATTGTTTTTAGTTTTTTGTGCTATAAGAATTACTTTTAGAGGTGTTGAAGGAAGGTGGGACATGCCCTGCATTGCTTTTCTAATTTAAGCTATTAACCCATGTTGAGTACCAGTTACTTTTAATTGAGATGATCTGTTTTTATTGTGAGGAAGTTACCAGTCTTGTTTCTACCATATTGAGTTAGCTGCTTCATATGTCTGTGTAGGATGGAACTTAAATATGCATTACACGCGGTATGCTAAGGTGTTGCTGGGTTTTCTTTTTGAGGTAACTGATCTAAACATTTTGATCAGGTCCTTGCAAGGGGATAGGGGAAATAATAGATCCTTCCAAATTCATAGTTGAATCCACAATAAAGTTTAAACATGTTCAAAAAGGCAATTGAAGAGAGGCTGAGGAAAGCACTATTATAAGTCTTTTTCTTAGCCAATCAAGAAATAACACTATTTTAAGCCTATGAAAATCAATTGAGAAGAAATCATGGTGATTTGTATTTCTTTAAGGTATTATTTAAGTGCAATGTATTATGGTTATGTCTTTCAATTTACCATGCCATTGAGTAATGAATGGTACCTTAAGGTCACTTTCAATGAAAGTAAGTAATTGTTAGAATCTTAGAGCATAAGGCTTTAAATCACAACGCTTCCAATTGGATCATTTGCCGCTGTAAATTCTTTGAATTAGTTGGTTTGTAGTTGATTCATATTCCAAATTTTCCTTTTTGACCATTGGATGCTCCTTGACATAATACTGGTGTGAATTTCCATAATAAGCTATGGATCTTCAATAATTTGTCTTCGTGCAAAATTAATAAAATTGTTCAAACATTATACCTTATGTTAATTCTTTTATGGGTGTCACAGTTGTTAGATTTTCTTTGATCATTATCAAGGTGCTAGGTTTAAAATTTGTTGTCATTAGAAAACAACTATAGTTAGATGAACACTAAGGTTAGTGTTTAGTGGAGTTGTTATGATGCTAACCCTTATGTTTTGTCTTTCATTTGGTCTGCAGTTGCTTTCTTTACTTAACTTGCTATGAAGCTTTAACTCTTTTGGGGATCTGATACATTGATTTTGTTTTCCAGAATGGTTTCTTATCAATTCTTTGCCACCTGATGCTGCTATCTTTGCTGTCCCTTTTGCTTATGCTGATTATCCTATTAAATGTTCTGTAATTGATTTTAAATTGCCACTCTTTCAACTTCAAAAACTGTTTCTCTTGCTTCCATATTGGTCTCTGAGTACAATGAATGAAATTTGTTGACAAGTTTGTTGTTTCCCAATCCCTTATTCTTTTTTATTTCTGCATGTTTGTATGCTTGCTTCCCTGTGTTTTTTTTGGTATATGGTAAGTGTAGATAAGTTCAGTGTGACCATCTTATTTGATCTTTTTCCTGGGGTTTTCAGTGAATCTTTTTGCATTTTAGCTGGCCTGCAATCTTTATATGATACCTAAAATTGTTATACTTCAATTTTAAGTCAGATTTTGATCATTTTGTACTTTAGTTTTGAGAAGTCCCCAAGACATGACACTTATGTGCCCAAATTTGAAGCTGAACTGGCTCAGTTTTGTGAGAAATTGGTGGGTTCCATTGCTTTTCTTACTTCTTTTCTGTTTTTATGAGAGTCTGTATTATTTTTCCACATAATTCCATAACATGCTTATTCCTGTAGGTGATGGACCTGGATAGAAGAGTTAGGCGTGGGCGTGAACGTCTTGCTCAAGATGTAGAACCTGTACCGTCTGTACCATTATCAGCAGAAAAGTCTGAACAGTTATCTGTTTTGGAGGAAAAAATAAAGAACCTTCTAGAACAAGTTGAGGCCCTTGGTGAAGCTGGGAAGGTGGATGAAGCTGAAGCACTAATGAGAAAGGTGTGCCGACTGTTTCTTTTTTTTATCAATATATTTTTATTTTTGCAAAATGTTGTCTCTTTATCAGCCAACAAATTACTTAGGTACCACTGGCCACTCAATTTTCTCAGCCAACCTATTTGTTAAATTTGTGGAAACAGTACATAGTTGTTACAGAGATTCTGCTAACTAATGCTCTCCGTGTTAGTTGTGTATTAATTTTGAATTTTTCAGAATTTTCAATTATAAACGGATTGCAAACTTTAATCAAAACCCTTTGACCCATGAATTTGTTATCATGAATCATGACAACTGCAGGTTTTTGAATCTTTTACAGGTGGAGATGCTTAATTCTGAAAAAACTGCATTGACTCAACAACCCCAGAATGATAAGGTATCGATGCTTGCTCAGGAGAAAAAGATGGCCCTTTGTGAGGTTTGTGGTTCCTTTTTAGTTGCAAATGATGCTGCAGAAAGGACTCAGTCTCATGTTACAGGAAAGCAACATATTGGTTTTGGCATGGTTCGTGATTTTATCTCAGAGTATAAAGTAAGTATTGCTTCCAAGAATGAATTATGGGTTTACATTCATTGGCCTTCTATTTTTATGAAGATGCCTTTCTATTTTCCAGGCAGCTAAGGAGAAGGCAAGGGAGGAGGAAAAATTAGCAAGGGAGAAAGAAGCTGAAGAACGGAGGAAGCAGAGGGAGAAGGAATATGAGAGTAGAAGGCGAAGAAGTGATTCAAGTGACCAGGAAAGGCATCGAGATCGAGGGAGGGAGCGGGACCGATACTCAGAACGTGATTTAGACCGTGAAAGGTCTCGGGAGAGGAGTGGTAGGGGAAGTCGAGATGGAGGTAGGGATTGGAGATATAGGAATGGAAGGGATGAAGGCAGGGACAGGCACCATGACCAAAGCAGGTCACGTTCCCCTGGCAGACATGGTCACAGGAGGTCCTCTAGAAGTCCAAATCGCCGGTAGGTGGATTGCGTAGATAAATGTTTGAGCTTTCAAATTAAATGAGGTAGACTTCTTACATATCCTAGTTTCTTGAATGTCGAATTTTGTCATTGTGGATGAAACTTTTTCTTGGTATCACACAGCTTTGTTGAGACTAGACCTTATCAACTCCCTTTGATCAAAATATTATTAGAGGGCGAAAGGATTGAGGTAGGTATGACAATGTTATTTGTAACGCCATTTATGTTATTTGGACTAAATTTCCTGTGCGCATCATTTTTGAATTATTTTGTCAAGTTTCTTGCGTCTTTGATGTTCCTCTCCATAAAGGATGATGATCTTTTAACAACTGTGAGGTAACATTTAAATCTTATGCCTTACCAACTGGGCAAAGGCAAACTCTCAATG